CCCACCCCAGAGCCTGCCCCCCAACCCTCTCCCCCATCCCTGGGCCCCACATCTCCGGACCCACCCCAGAGCCTGCCCCCCAACCCTCTGCCCCACCCCAGCGCCCATACCCCAAGCCAGAGCCCTCACACCCCTACCCTCTGCCCCAATCCTGAGCCCGTCATTCCTGGTCCCACCCCAGAGCCCACACTCCCAGCCAGAGCCCTGACCTCCCTGCACATCAACCCTCTGCGCCAGCCCTAAGCCCCCTCCGACACTCCATACCCCTCGGCCCCACCCCCACCACATGAATTTTGTATGTACACCTCCATATTGGTGCACATACAAAATTCATTCTGCACATGTGTGGGGAAAATTAGAGGGAACACTGCTCACAATCCATGCATTTAAAGCCAAGGGGCAGAGCGTATGCTCCCTAATTTGGGGAAATTATGAGCAATTTATTAAAGTGAGCAGTAAATTGCATCTGCCCAGCTTACCTGCCTTAACACGAATGCCCTAGTGGCTTTGTGCCAGGGTGAGCGGAGGTTCTAATATTTGTCTTTGTTTATATTTACTTTGTTCACAGGTTGTTGTTTTTTTTTTAATGACTTAGAGCAAAATCCTGCAGATCTTAGTTGTTGGCAGTTTTGACTGAGTAGAGCCATGGTGGAGGCCAAAACAACATGAGAGCTGCTCTTCCCATGGCATTTCAATTCCTGGGTGGCGGAACTAATACAAGATCACCAACTCACATGTTGTTTGGACCTCATAAAAGACTCTCTGAGTCAAACAATAAACACAAGTATGGAGCTATTGTTATGTATCCCTGACCAGAGATGTGCAGGAGCTATTCTGTACTCTGGTTTATGCAAGTGTAAGAACATTAGCAGAAAATTTAGGGAACAACTTAAAAGCCTGGGCCTGGGACAAGAGGGCTCCTTCGTTCAGCCTCTGAAGAAACCATCCATGTACATGCCAGGAGACTCCATGACCACTACTGCAGTAGCAGCCACCTGCCATGTGTCCCTCTTGGTGCACCTCACCCATCCCACTTCCCTCACCCCCAAACCCACCTCCCATTGTGTGGGAAAAGGAAGTTATGCCCACAGAGTTGGCCTATGCAATTCCCCAGTGTGCCGGTCCCCTCTGTGGTTGCCTTCCCACGCAGCAGAACCACATTGGATGCTCCTGTGTCTCTGCTTTCACAACGTAAGTTTCACGCTGCCTGTATGGTTTAGTTTAGCCCCAAATTCCAACCCCTGATTAAGCCCACCATGCCACAGAATTATTTCAGGGAAATTCTACGGCCTGTGTTACGCAGGAGGTCAGACTAGACTATCAGAACGGTTGCTTCAGTCTATGGCTCACGTGCAGCACTCCTATTGAAATCAGTGACAGTCCCTGCACAGAAGTGTGGGATTGGACCCCAACAAACAAGCATAGATCTGGACAGTTAAAATAACATCTGTCCATGACTGAGTGGAAAGATCTGGTGTCACCCAAAGCCTCTCTCGTTCCTTTGCA